CACTTCGAGACTGTAGGCAGTAATTTAAAATACTCATGATGCTTTCTGAAGTAATATTTTTCCATGTTTGAGTAATGAGTTGTAAAGAATCTGCTATGCAAACTATTTCAGAACCCCCAGAAAATGTACAGCCTACAAACAACATGGGGGTGCAATCTGAGAGTCATGAAATTACAGCCAGGCCAGGCACCACCGGCAGCTGGCACTAATGCGTCCAACACTGAGGACAGACCCGGAACTCCACGGGGTTCTAGTTCTAGACTCCTGTGCAAGGTGGCATGTATTTCTCAGCTCAATGAACATTTCCCTGTGGCAGATTATCAACAAACTCAACTCTTTTGTTTTTTTAAAGATTGTATTTATTTAACAGAGAGAGAGATCACAAATAGGCAGAGAGACAGGCAGAGAGAGAAAGGGAAGCAGGCTCCCCGCCGAGCAGAGAGCCCGACGTGGGGCTTGATCCCAGGACCCCAGGATCAGGACCTGAGCCGAAGGCAGAGGACCAACCCACTGAGCCACCCAGGCACCCCCAAACTCAACTCTTAAAAGACCATTCATAACAGCAATAATTACCTACTTCTGCATTGGCAAGGCATAAAAGGCCTTATTTCGTGCAAGAATGTAATGATTAAGCTAAATATAAAAATGGCACTAAATACACCAAACCAGATCTACATAGCATCAAAGTCACAAAGATGTATGTATCAGACCACAGAAAAATGAAAGGAAACAGAAGTGAAGAAAATATTTTTTAAAATCACATCTTTAAATGAAAATCTTTTTTTTTTTTTAACATTACGATTATTGTTTTGGGGAACACCTTTTCCCTTTGAACATGTTACTAAATGTTAAATGTACTAAACAACTTATACATTTATAGAGAAAGAGAAATTATAGAGAAATAAGTTTTGTGTTTAGTACAAATTAGAGAACCCATGCATATATAACTCTCTCCCCCACTACAGTCAATTTTAAAATGGTCTCAGCAGAAAATAAATATTTCACAAATGTCCAAAATGTACAGTATCTTTGTATTGTGGATAACAGATTAGGACTTAAGGGAGAAAATAAATAACATAAGGAAAGAGCAATATGTTGGCTTGTCTTCAAATACAGAAACTTATGCATATTAAAGTGAAAAATTTATAGTTAGAATACAGGTAAATAAGTAATAAATAAAAGGCAAAGAATACTAAGAAAAAAATTACCAAATTTTAATATTTACAATTATAAGAAAAAAAAACAAAGAAATGAGCAATGACACCATTAATATCTCAGGTGATAATAAGCTAAGATGGTTTATAAGAGGTTTAAACCATATATGCATGATAGTGCAAAGCAAAAGTATTCGTGGCCTTATGACTTTCTGGGCCATGGAATCCTTTATGATGAAAACTATGGACCCTCTCCAGAAAGACTGACTTGTGCACTTCAGGAAAGGGGCTCTATGACCCTAGATTAACTACTTAAAAAAACAAACAACCCCCCCCCCCGCAAAAACCTCCAAAGACAGCAAGCCTAATAGTGTAATATTAAGTATAATAGTAAACTGCCTTAAGGCAATAGTGTATACAGAGAAAAAAAAAAAAGTAGGTTATTCATAAGTAAGGACTGTAGGTAAAGAAAAATCACTGAGGAAACTGGCAGTGTCCATCTAAGAATTGTCCATAGGTAAGGATGCCTTGGCACAAAACTTGACCCATCCAGACCCCATGGCAAGTATGCCTGTTGCACAGCTAGATAAACTGGGCTCTAACAGCTTGGTGCCATCATATCTGAATTAAAGGGGATCCTCAGCATTCTCTAGGGACAAACATAGAATTGTGTAAATCCCCAACCATATTATGAAGTGTAATTTATTCCCCAAAATATGTGTATACTATGTAAACTAGGAAGAGACAAAGTTGCAACAAAAGTAAGTTATTATAAAGCTATTTAATGAATCCTTTCTTCAGCACCACTCACTGTGAATGTACTATCTAACCAAACACCACCTGATCCTCATGGATGCAGTACTTGGCAATGACTATAAATTAAATAAATCGGTTGTCTCATTGTATACATCATTTGTTTTAAGAATACTTTTGTATGGATCGGTCTCCTTGAACTCAATCACCATGGGGACTGACAAAATAAATTTCTACATGGAAGGCTGAAGGCTGGACGCTGAACACTGGTCAGTAGTTTCCTGTGTGGTTTCCAGGCAGTCAACAAGGGGTGTTTGAGCTATCACTAAAAGTTATACTTTTTTTTTTTTTAAGATTTTATTTATTTATTTGACAGACAGAGATCACAAGCAGGCAGAGAGGCAGGCAGAGAGAGAGGAGGAAGCAGGCTCCCTGCTGAGCAGAGAGCCCCATGCGGAGCTCGATCCCAGGACCCTGGGATCATGACCTGAGCTGAAGGCAGAGGCTTTAACCCACTGAGCCACCCAGGCGCCCCCAAAAAGTTATACGTTTAAGTGGATCATCCTGTAAAAAAAGCTGATACATCAGGGAAATACAAATCAAAACCACAATGAGATACCACCTCACACCAGTCAGAATGGCTAAAATTAACAAGTCAGGAAATGACAGATGGGAAACCAACATTCACAAAGTTTTCTTTCAGCTGAATACTACTCACTATAAAGGAAAATATGACTGAAATAAGTGAAAGAGGTGTGCTAATGTTTTTATTTTGTAAAATTTGAAATCAAAGTTGAGGTAATAGATGCGGAAACCAACATTCACAAAGTTTTCTTTCAGCTGAATACTACTCACTATAAAGGAAAATATGACTGAAATAAGTGAAAGAGGTGTGCTAATGTTTTTATTTTGTAAAATTTGAAATCAAAGTTGAGGTAATAGATGCTACTGCTAAGAAGGAGTATGAATGTAAAAAGGGAGGATGATCTGTAATATTTTCACTGTTTATAATGAAATATAATGAACTGATAACTACAGAAAAAAATGGGGCTTCAATGAACTAAGGATAAGAACTACAACTTATTTATTCAACTTTATATTACCTGCACTCTATGACATTTTGAAAATGTCCAATCTATACAAATTTTTTAGTGAAAAATTTCTAAATTTATGACATTAATGATATCTGTATCATTTTAAAAACTGTGCTGTCCACCAACTGAAATGAAAACAAAGGTGATTGAACACTAAAGAGAAAAATGGAAAAAGGAACCAGGAAATGTGCTTAAAAAAGAAAATCAGGAATAAGACTAAGTACAAAAAGCAAGACAGAACAGGAATACAAACATGGAACAAGGAGAAGTTTCTGTTATTATGCTACAGTTCTGAATAAAACCAGAAAACTATAGCCAAAACATGGCTTGAACACATATAGGCTTACATATAAATGTGTACTTCTTAGTGATCACTAAACCAGAAATCACTTCATTTTTTATTGTCTTTACCTGCTTTCTGGGTTTCTTGGGATATACTGAGTTTATATGCTTTAAGGGATCTTTTAAGGCAACTGAAAAGCTAAGTGATTAAATATTTCTTTCACCAAATTTGACTGTTCTCTCCTGAAGGCAAGTATTTTAATGGATTCCACAAAGTACTATGGCAGTCAAGAATATGTTTTGAAGAATAAAAGTATTCTAAAAATTGGTAAGGTGATGTTTCTTTCCTCTCCTTACTCTTCACAGTCATTAGGTCTGTCAAACTAAAATTTATTTTAAAAGATACTAGTTACATCTATAATAGTTCTTGACTATATACATCAAAATACATTCTCGCTAGGTGATTTCTTTCAGGTGTTTGTTTAAAATCTTGTAAAAGTCTATTGAAATTTTTCACAATACTTTTCACTTCCAAAAACATGAGACTGATTGTGAAAATATTCAAAACCTTAAACATTCATGTTAGTATTTAATAAATGAGATTAATCTTTTCAAGAAACTTTTTACTTTGCAACTGCAAGAACCCCAGCATACACCAGAGCTTCAAGTACAAGACTCTTGCCAAAAGCAAAAGCACTCAATATATTATTTTAATAATGGAAACCTCAAGTATTAGAAACCAAGCTGTGTGTGGAAAAAATAAATCATTTAGGTGGAAGGGTAACAAACATTCAATTGAAGGATAATGCAGCCCTGAGGGAAAATATGCATATGAATGGAGTTTATGAAATTGGTTCAGTGCCTCTGCAAAGAAAAAATAATTAATTTATTTTAAAGCTACCTATAAAATGTTTTCAATATTGCAGTATGAATTATTTACAGAAAACTGTACATCTAATTTTAAAGCTACCATTTTACTGAAATATCTTGAGTACTGTGGAACTAGAAATAAAAATACATTGTTTCATGTATGTGGGAGATTCCCTTTTAATTACATGCTCTTCAGAAAGTTATGGGTTAGTACCTAAATCAGTAATAATTCATTCAACTCTTTTTCTTTTCAAATTTAGTAATTTAAAATAACTGGGATATCAACTTAATTTTCAAATTTGACATAGAATACTCTAGAGTTGACAAATACATGAGAGTATATTACTGTGAAGTTATGACTACTAATGAAATGACCGAGGGAATATGTCTGAGCTTAAATCATTTTAAAAATACATTTTAAATATGTCTTTTAAGTTAGTAAGGCTTTTGGGGAAAAGATCTGGATTTGAAGTTTTACCATAACGCTACAAAAAAACATTCAAATGGATTCACAAAATAACCCATGTTTAGAATATTCCTCTTGCTCTCCTAAAATAAGTCACTTGCTTATACAAGACACATAAACAGAATAATGATAAATAACTTTAGAGTATCACCTATATTTAGTCTACTTCGAATTTCTAAAATTACTGACAATAATCAACTTATGAACACTAGAGGGCAGTAAAACACCAGAAGGTGTATTTAAATTACATCTCTAAATGTGGCAAAGGCAAGCCAGTACATTTTTTTAAAAATCAGAATCATAACGATTTAATAAATATGTTTCTTTTTAGGTTGCTAAAGTATAAAGCATTCTATAGCATGTCATTTTGGTACAACTTACTTTGCAAAATCCAAATAAGAAACATGTCCATGATAAAACCCTGGTTTCATCTCTTTCCAGGAAGTTATATTCTTTACAAAGCGTACCTAAAACAGGAGAACACACTCATTACTGAAGTTCAATATAAAGGAAAATGAAATCTGATGATAGCAAAATACTTTCCATTTAGACATTTAAAACAAATCACACCAGTTTGACAATTACGGAGCTTGAAACACAGGTTTCAACTAAGGAGAGCACAGTGTGATCTGTAATTACCAATTCATCACAGAGGGAGCTATCATCACCACACTCAGAGGAGTGAGAAAGAATCCTGAAAGAAAAACCCACACAGTGCAATCATTACAATGCTGCATAGTGAGTAACTGACATGGGTGAGGGGAGGGTGGGTACCAACATACGCCCAAGTCTGTTTTTTACTCCCAGAGACTTGTTATTCATAAAAACTCATACTTATTAATGGCTCAACAAATAAAAACAAAAAGTAATCCTCAAACCAAAATGATTAAAGAAAAGATGATGATTGTCAGAATAAAGAATATTTAAAGAATAAAGAGCAGATATCATTAGCTTGTTGATAAAAAAGTGTAAATATGCTGAAAAAAAATTTTCTTAAAGATTTTATTTATTTGACAGATCACAAGCAGGCAGAGGCAGGCAGAAGGCGGGGGGGATGGGGGAGTAGGATCCCTGCTGAGCAGACAGCCTGATGCAGAGCTCGATCCCAGTACTCTGAGATCATGACCTGAGCTGAAGGCAGAGGCTTAACCCACTGCGCCACCCAGGCGCCCCTGCTGAAAAAAATTTTAAGAGCTGATTAATAGAGAGCTTGATAAGCCTAAGTACCACTAGCTACAAAGCAGTGATACACTATTTCTCAAAGAAAAATGGCATGTATTTTTGATAAGCAAATTTCTGCATGATAAGCAGCAAATAGCTGAGAATGTCTTCTGGGGACTAGGTACAGTGTGGTGGTGAAGGTGGAAGGGTCGGGAGCCCACCACCCTAAACTGCACTGAAAGCTTCTGCAAGCTGTGACCTCAGCCTGGAGCACAGGCCTGTGAACTGCATATTTCTGACAGCTTATCAATCTTGCATTTACATTTTAGAAGAGAGTTAGTCATGTGGAGATATACTGGACCACTTCTACCAGATTAGTCGATAAATTAATGGCAATGAATGATGATGGGCGCCTCCCAGAAAAGGCCTATTGGTAGTGCAGAGCACAAAACAGTGCAGAAGCAGCCACATGTCAGAGAAGTGAGCTAGGGAAAAACAGAAGGTTCTGGGGAAATTTATTTTTTAGGGGAAGCATTAATAAGTCATATACTGGGGTGCCTGGGTGGCTCAGTTGCTTGGGCTGCTGCCTTCAGCTCAAGTCACAGTCCCAGGGTCCTGGTGGGAGCCTGCTTTTCTCTCTGTCTGCCGCTCCACCTGCTTGTGCACTCTTCATCTCTGACAAATAAACAAATCAATCTTAGGGGGGGAAAAAAACCCTCATATTAAGGGAAATAATGGAGTTCTTAGAAGGGAAGTTATAGGAACTTTATCTTAATATCTTATACGTACACACACATACCCTTAAATCTGAAAATTGAATGCAGATAAAATTATGTTGCATTAGAAAACACACAATTATATTTCAGCAGATATTTATGATTTTTCCCCACTGAAAAAGAAAGAGCCAAAAAAATGTGTGATTTGAGGTTTTCATGTTCTTTCCTATCTGTTAAGGTTCCAAAGAGAATGAAAATATCAAATGGCAAATGAAAAGAAACAGAAAATTAAAATTAGATAACCTAAAAACTGAATCCTTAAAAAAAATTCACACGTTGAATATGAAAAGTCCTTATAAACTGCCACTTACTGGTAAATTATTTCATAAAAAGCCTTTGGTTCTGTGAAAATCAGTTCCATTATTTCAGCCAAAAATGAGAGGGAAGTAGAAGGAAAAGAGAATAGGAATGGGAGGTGGTGGTTTAAGGATAGTTAAGGCATATTTAGCGATTCAGCTCTATTTTCCAGAAGCCCGGATTTAATGTGGATGTGATGGTGTGGGAGAGAAATGAAAGGAGGTGGCAGGTTGAAATCTGGGAAAATGGTGTTCTAGAAGCCACATGTTAGAGAGGATCAACAGTACCAACTTAAAAGTGCACTATAGTAAAAGACTCAGGTGGAAATAAGAGTTAGCTGTAAATATAAACTTCAAGGATCCTTCTTTCTTCCACCTTTCTTAAGGACAGTCAGGGTTAAACTGAACCCTCCTAAGGACACACTTCCTTGTTCCATGTGTCCTTCACCGTCCAGTGTAGAGCTCAGGAAGCTAGATAATGCCTGGACTGCTGCAGGGCTTCTCAAACTCAAGGTGCAAATGAATCATCTCGGATTCTGGTCAAAATGCAGATTTTGATTCTGTAGGTCTGGAGTGGGGTCCAAGACTCTGCACTTCTAACAAGTCTCCACAGGATGGCAGGTCAGTGGCTCACACGGAGGAGCAAGGCTTGAGCATAGGTGGGCCCGGGAGTTACCGCTTGGCTTTATTTACACGAAGCTTGTTTTTATACTGCTTTGCCAAGGGGCCCTGAGGTCTGCAAAAGCTCTTTGGCAAAGATACACTCTCATATTCACTGCTTTTATGATAAGGAAAAAAATGTACTGAAATAGAACAGATTTTTAAAGATTACCTTGTAAGCCACTGCAATACATAAAACAGAAGTAAGGACAGGAGCAGAATGAACCCTGCCTACTTCGTCTCCTTCTACCCGCAAACAGTGATGCCTGAAGCATTCTGAAACCAAAGCATTCCAAGAAACACAGTCTAAAAATGAATGAATTGGAAAAAAGGGTTGTGTTTCCAGTTGGGACTGAGGGAAGAGTTGAGTGATGGTGGAGAACAGAACAAGGCATGAATCTTCCACTGTTGTCATCAACTCAAAGTCTCTTGTTTATAGAATCAGCATTTTAGAGGTTGAAGGGACTTAGGATATCCTATCCTTTTATTTTATAGATTAGAACACTGAAGCTCAAAACCCACATACCTTAAATTTTGGCCCAATCATCCTTCTATAACACAAGTTAATTTTCTTAATTTCTTATTGTTCAATTTAAGCAAAGAGGAAAAAACCCAGAAGGATGTGAAAAGAAGGGAGAGTAGCATTTGTATCATTATTTTGATCAACAAACTTGGGCACTGAGAATTTCAAGTCTTATCCACTGCTAAGAAAACCCCTCAGGTCCAGTCATTCAAAACTCCTCATCCCACAAGCTTTCAAAGCTCTGTTGATATGGCTCTCAAAATTGTTCATCTTCTTCATCACATTCATTATAACCTCCATGTCCAATCCACCCTGTCCACTATCCTCGTACTGGACAACCATTTTTGCAATTATGACCACTGACTTATTCTTGCCTTTTTATTATCCTGGGTAACCACAGGGATTGCTGAACACTGCTAGTCAAAAGTAAGAGACCTGGTTTAAATGTTTATATAAGACCTTGCATTTTATTTTCTAAATTCATTCTGAGGTAAATTCACATGGGTTATTATTGCTTTTAAATTCTCTATACTATTATGTTAAAGTCTGTCAAAACATACAGAATCTTTCTCTAATCTCCCAACTATGAGAATACTGAAGGTTCCATATTTAATATATATGTGCATATGTTTTTTTCTTTCATCTCATCAACACTTAAAGTAATGTGTTAAAGTCTCATTAGTAAAGCTGTGGCTGATATACAATTTGCAATAAATCAGCAGAGGCTGAGCTAAGACTGACCTTCCCTTTACAAAAAAGAAAAAAGTGCCAAGCAAACAAATGATGTCAATAAGGGTCAAGTGGTCGTTCAGACTAATCTGGAGAATAGGCAGAGCATTTAGAAGAGTCATTTACATACTGCTGAAATTCTATAACCATCCTTTGACCCCCCTTTGAAGAGCAACCTTTTTAAAAAGTTTCCTTCTCAGGGCACCTGGGTTGTTCCATCGGTTAGGCAGCTGACTCTTGATTTCAGCTCAGGTCACAATCTCAGGCTTATGATCTCTGGGTCTGGCTCTATGCTCAGCAGGCAGTCTGTGTCCTCTCCCTGTCCCTCTGGCACACTCCATTAAAATAAGTAAATCTCAAAAAAAAAAAAAAGTTTCCTTTTCAAAGTCTTAATTTAGCCACTTAACTTTTACCAAGTTAGCTGGTTCTCCCCAAAGTGCCCCCTGCAGACTTTTCTCTGTCTCTCTTCCTCCTTCCATCCCCACTCTCACCCTTTCATCTGTCAGCCTCACTGCAGTTCCCCTCCACCATTTTCTGCCCTCTCACCTCTCCTGCACCACTCGCCTAATCTTTCAGTTTTTCTTCTGGTTTTCCTCTGCAATGGGACATCCTGCTCAAGACCTCGAGATAAGGCTCTGGAATAGGTAGGAGTGCAAATGGAGATCAGGTGAGCAAACCGGCACGCCGTTCACTGTCTGGACTCTCACCGACTACATTTGGCACCAGTGAAAGGGAAGGTGAGTAGGTGAAAGGAGCAAAGCATAATCGTGGCAAATGGACTTAAGAAGACTGAAGACGGAAGAGACTGAACACAGTGGCTCGGGGAGAAGAAATAAAGTCACCACAGTGAATTTATTCAAAGAGTATTTCCATACTCTGAAACAGGCTATCAAGAAGGACGTTTCAGAAGTAGTTGTTAGATATACTACATGAAAAGAGATGTTTTATAGCTAGCCTGGAGCAGATCCGAAACTGTGATTTCTGTCAGGTTTTATAACTCAAGCAGAGTCAGGCTAGCAAGTCATTAGAGGAGACCTTTAGGGAAAACAAGCGATGTAGGGAGTAGTGTTGTGATTTATCTGCTAGTGGACTCAGACCTGAACCAGTGTGGCAGAAAAAGTTAAGAAAGCACCATGTCTTAAGAGTGTACCTAGACCTATATACTTAATAAGATTCATCTCAACATTAATTATCTGAAAGAACTTGTTTTCACTATCTGTGAGTAGGAATGTCATCCTGACAATCTTGGCCAAATTCCAACTTTGTAATTACTACCTGGTGAATGAATACTACTATTAACTTGGATAATTACTACATACCGAACTTCTACTCATGCCTATACTTAAATAAACATCCATTGTACAGCTGTGGGTAGTTTTATGAGACTAAACTAGAGAGGAAGTTTTCTATACAAAAAGGAAAAGTGAATAACAATTGGATAAAATATAAAAAAGGTTCAGCAGCAACATAACATAATATTTCACCAAAGTCCAGAAATTTCTGTTCAGTCCTTTCTGCAGGAGAAGGGTGGGTGTGTCCCAAATCACCTGAGCGAAGGGGAGAACATATTACCATCAATCAGAGGGGCTCATTCTGCCAGTAATCATCACTGACATTGTGCTCAACTAAGAACTACTTTTAGAACCTAAGTCCATTCATTTGTTCTCTCTTTCATTCATTCATTCAACAAAAAATTTATGGAGCATATGTACTGTGTCTCAGACTCCATTCTAAACACAAGAATACAGTGGTGAATAATATGATGAACAAGGTTCCTGCCTTTTAGGAGCTTCTACAGAGGAAAAGACCAATAGAAAACAAATAAATCAGTAAGTAATAGGAAAGATACATAAAGAATGATGATGGTGTACTATAACTTGGAAGAAGTATTTAATATATAGGATAGCCAAGTGAGGTTTTTCTGAGAGGGTGTCATCTAGAGGATGTTAAAAGGATAACATGAAGTCAATGGTGAGAGACCAGTCTAAGACAGACTGCTACGTGCAGAGGCCTTGAAATGGGAAAGGTTTGGTACATTCAATGAACCAAAGGTCAGTGTGGCTAGTAAACAAGATGATGAAGTAATGGACATGGGCTAGATTTAAAAGGGCCTGTTGGCCAAGGTAAGGAATTTGGATATGGATTTTGATGGGGAGGTTAGAATATGAATTTAAAGACAAAGTACTTCACCATCCTGGGAAGTCTATAATATGCATTTTCACATAACCCACTGAGAACTATGTTCTAGATGTTTGCTACTCAAACTCTGGTTCAAGGACCATAAGAATCAGTTTGGGCCTCAGGTTCCATCTTAGTCCTTTTGAATCGGAATCTGTATTTTAACTGGTGACTGATATACACAATACAAGTTAGGAAGCACTCATCTTAGGTGTGGTCTGAAAAATCAGAATCTGCAACAAACATCAAGTCATGCAAAAGACCAGAAGGTGCCCTAATAGCGAATTAAAAGAAAAAAATTACTAAGTTGTCCTACAGAGAATGCAAATTCTAGATATTTCCGATGTGTAGAAAGGAGTTAAATATGATCACAAACCTTAACAGATGAGTAGAAAAGAATTATGAAAGATCCTAAAAGACACTGCCACTTAATACCTATCTGACAGTTACTTTAAAGACAAGATGTTCTCTAGAGTAGAGATATTTTCATGATAGCAGAGTAAACTTCATTTTCTAACTACAAGAGCTAATGAATCACCGGTCTCCTGCCAATCCCTACCAATTCACTGAGTAAAGCATGCCTCAAAGATAGAATTCCCATGACTGAGTCTGTCTCCCTCTCATGGCTTACTCTTCCCATGCCTCATATTCTCAAACGTTTATCTTTTCATTTGCTTGTTCGAAATTTCCCTCTTAATTTATTCCAATTTCTTAATTGTGAAAGATCCCTGAACTACAGAAAAGTTGAAAGAATAATCCAGTCAACATCTCTATACTCATTCACTAAGATTCACTAACTTCCCAGTTTTGCCTCTGTTTTCTCCATATGCACACACATGCTTAATTTTTTCTGAACCATCTGAAAACAAACAGCAGACATTTTTGATCAAGGATCCAGTTACAAATCACACATTACATTAGGATTTCAGATCACTTAGTCTCCTCACCTCTAGAGAGGACTGCCCAGCCTCATCCCCAAACACACCTTGTTTGGTTGTCACAATGTTGATACTTTACAGAAGTTCAGGTAATTATTCTGGAGAATGTTCTAACAAGATGGATTTGCCTGTTTGTTCAAGATTAGGTCTGGATTAAACATTCTGGTGAGAAACATTTTGGGTTAAATAATTTGGTGGAAAGGACGCCGGGGTGGCTTAGTTGTTAAGCATCTGCCTTCTGCTCTGGTCATGATCCCAGGGTCCTGGGACCGGGTCTCACATTGGGCTCCCTGCTCAGTGGGGAGTCTGCTTCTACCTCTCCCATACCCACAGCTTGTGTTCCCTCTGGCTGTGTCTCCTCTGTCAAATAAATAAATAAAATCTTTAAAAAATAAAATAAACAAACAAACAATTTGGTGAAAATACCATAAAATGATGTTTTCTTTACATAATCTTCATCATTTCTACATCTATGCTTTACGTTCTATATAAATTACAAATAAGTCTTCTGAAAGATGTGGCCTTGCTTTTTATTTCTTTAGGAATATAGCACAATCCCTGTATCTATTACATACTCAATAAATAAATGAAACCTTGAGAGCAGAGTGGACAACTGTTTCTAAGGATGGCAGAATATGCAGAGATAGCTACTACCTGCTCAACAGTTTCATACCTGACTCAACATATTTGGACTTTGCCTCTAAAATTTGAGAAATAATTAAGTATGTGAACAGTTTAGCACAGTGCCTTGTACAGTATATATGAAATACATCCAAGAAAGAGCTGGAGCTAGAGAGTATTTCTCTACTTTGCCCCACACAAACATATTTTAAATGCTGCTCATTATGTAATCTCACTGCTTTTAAGATAGTGTTTATGCTTCTCTTCTAATTTTTTTTCCTATATATAACTAACAAGCTATTGAAAGAAAAACAGCTTTATCTCATCCAAATGCAACTGGGAAAATCTATCACTACATGATGCCTGTAAATGTCATATGTGGGCAGCTTCCAGAGATTCTTATTTCATGAAAAAAAATGGTTAGTATCACTGTCAGACATCTTATAGCTGTCATACAACTTAGTAATGCTGGACACAAAATAAGCAAGGTAACTATTTTTCTAAAAAATACTACTGAATAAGTCTAAAATTACTATGGAAGTATTAAGAGATGTTCCTTTAAGCCAAGATGTATTTTGAAAAGCAATCAAGCAAAGAAATTTAACATCTACCACACACTGTATAAAAATGGATTATTTAGGATACTTGCCCTTGGTATTCAATATTACATAATGAATAGTTTCTATGACCCACTTAGCTAAATAAGCTCATGTTTCTTCTCATTTACAGAAGAGTTATTTAGTTTGGCTGATGGATGTAGATTTTTGGTTTTATGAAAAACAGTAATTGAGGATACTGCAGAGAGCCAAGAATTATATGGGCAGATGGTATGCCATATACTATTAGACTTTACTAACAGCTCTCAAAGAAAGCAAACCTTAACCTTATGTATCAGAGTTACACTCTTGCTTCAGAGCAGGATAAGAGTCAGCTACTTTGTAGTAAATAAGTTCAGCTGTTTTCAGATACATTCATAACTGTATGACTATCATAAAACCTTTCTAATAATGCTACCTTAACATATTTAATCCTAGACAGTATTTCCAAATATTATCTTTTCTCCTCATAGGGCCCAATTCCCATTCCCTTCAATATTTATAGAGAATTCTATTAATTTATAATTATAGTCAGAACTCCAGTTGTGGAGAAACTGTGTGCTACTATTGCTAAAGAGATAAGTGATTTTATTTCATGAGATAATTTCCTCCACTTTTCTTAAGACTATTTCCTATCTATCCATTTGTTAATCTAAAGTTTCTTGACAACTTAAAAGGCAAGGTTATGTTAAAAATATAAGCCACAATTTCCGTTATCCAGGAGTTTGTAGTTAATATTACATAAATTACTAGTAAAGGTGAGATGAAGTTTAGGAGGCTAGTCACAAAACTGAACACAGGTATTCATTAAATAAAGATTTCTCTATCATAAAATGAGACAACAGAATGATTTCTATTGCAAGGTATCTTGCTGAAAATATTTCCTATTTTTAAAAGGATACCATAATAAAGAACATCATTTTCTTTTCAAAAATTCAAGCTTTTAATAAGTTCATTAATTTTATAAATATTTAAATACATATAATATGCAAGGAAATATACCAAATATTGTGAAAAATGTAAAATTATAGAGAAGTTTGTTTAGCAGGGCCACCTGGCTGACTCAGTCAATTAAGCGTCTGCCATAGACTCAGGTCGTGATTCCACAGTCCTGGAATGGAGCTCCACATCTGGCTCCCTGCTCAGCAGGAAGGCCTGCTTCTCCTTCTCCCTCTGTGCCTGCCCCCCAACCCTAACTCATGCACACACTCTCTCTCTCAAATAAATAAAATCTTAAAAAAAAAATGTTTGTTTGTTCCTGTTCCCCAAGAGACTTACAATTCATTGGGGTCAGTACACATATTCCTTAAAATGCTTTTGCCTCTTGAGATACAAAATATGAATGAGGAAGTGTCAGAAAACATTTACTTATCTCCTACGTGTTTACCTGGTCTTGTAGTGACATCACTGGATTATTTTTGGTAGTGTTGATGTGAAGAACATGATACTTATTCTTTGCACAGAGATCATAGGCAATATTGGTAAAGGAGGTGCTTGCAGTTTTGGGGACTCTGTTATAAATGATCACCATGTCCTCTTCCTCATCCAGCATGGCCTCTTGCCGAGGGCCATCCATCGTATGTCGCTGCTCAATTTCTCGAACTTCATGTCTTGCAATTGCCCTTTCTGCAAAGAAAAACAGTTGTGAGCTCACTTTTTAAAGACAATGAAAATAATTTCCCATTCCTCAAACATAATTCTCCAATTTAGAAATGAGTAAGAGCACCTGAAGAAATGTTTTGAAGACCAAACATTCAGAATTACTCTCTGAAGGATAATACACATGCATATACAGAAAAACAGAATAAACAGTCATCAAGTTTAGAATACCACAGACCGGAGACCGGTGTAGTTCAAAAATCACAGTTCTTTTTTTTTTTTTTTTTTTTTAAGATTTTTAAAAAAATATTTTGTTTATTTGAGAGAGAGTGTGCGCACGCGCAGAAGCTGGAGGAGTGACAGGCAGAGGCAGAAGGAGAAGCAGGCTTCCTGAGGAACGGAGAGCCTGATGCACAGGGCTCCATCCCAGGACCCTGCGATCATGACCTGAGCCAAAGCCAGACGCTTAAACCGACTGAGCCATCCAAGGTGCCCCACACTACATTCTAATAGAATAGAATTTTACAGCCTGAATTAACTCTCAAACACACAAAGACAGATTGCATGGATACTAAACTTCACTGTAAGAAGTGCACTTAGAAAATAAGTCACTTGGAATTTAAGCAAAGATTTTGAAATTTATACTTAGGATTTAATTATTTCCTCATTTATCAAAAGGTAGCAGGGCAATGGTTATAAATGCTGGAGTGATTTTAGGTAACAAGAGTAGAAACTATACCAATACAAATCCTTTTTCTTTTTGGTGTTGTACTACATTCTAAGTTTGGGCTATGTTTGTTTGTTTTAAGATTTTATTTGTGAGAGAGAGAGAGAGAGAGAGAGAGAACGCGCGAGAGAGCGAGCCTATAAGCAGTGAGAGTGGCAAGCAGAGGGAGAGGGAGAAACAGGCTTCCTGAGGAGTACAGAGCCCAACGTGGGGCTCAATCCCAGGACCCCAGGATCATGACCTGAGCCGAAGGTAGATGCTTAACCTGTTGAGCTTATTACTATTATTCTTTGTTTAATATAAACTTCAGCTTTGAATTTTTTTAGAATAAGGAAGCCAGCAAGGGGAAAGAGAGATATCAGGGGATAAAAACTTGTAACAAGATTACAAGTTACCTTGCACAGACACAGCTGCCCACACATACCATGCACCCTCCTACCACTAGATCTTTCTGTAAAGTTGTTTCACCTGCTTTGAACACTCTACTATTTTCCCTGTACCATAATGCTGCCTGGTGAACTCATGAACCTCCACATGGAATGTCATCATTGCTCAAACGGGAAGCATGATTCAATCTCCCTAACTAACTAACTAACACATAATGCATACATATGTCTCACATACCACATGTTTCAAAATAGCAATTTTTAAATATTGTATGTGTTATTGGTATCTGTCTACTATAAGGCATGACTTAATACAATGACATGAAAAAGCAATGAGGTACAATTAGAGTAACAAGCATAGGCTTCAAATACTGTCAAACCATGCATTTTATATTTTGGTTCAGAAGATACGGTCACCACATTTAGAAAATATACTCTGAGCTGAAAATTCACATTCATAAGACTTGAATAAGAGTTCCAGGCCTGCTACTTACTAGCTGTGGGCTTTCCAAAACAGGAGAAGTGCATATGTTCTATATGTATATGCATATATGTTTCCTTTTTTTTTTTCCTTCCCATTGGGAGAGCTGGATGGGAATGTGCAGGGAAGGAAATGAGCTTAATGTTAAGCACACTGCTGGATTGCCTGGGATATCCAGGAGATGTTGTGTAGATAATTGGACACATAGGTCAAGAGTTGAGAATAAACATTCAAGTAGAAGACATCTGGGAAAACCATGGAAATGAATGCAACTGCCTACATAATCTAAAATATGTAGCATGGGAAAGAGACTCTGGGACAGAATCTTAGGAAATACCACCATTTAAGGAGCAAGTAGAGACAATCTGTAGAAGGAGGCTAAGAAGAAAGAAAGAAAAAGGAAGCAGGGCAGACTTTCAAGAATCACATGCCACATGATAGCATATTACTTTTCAAATTGACAGTGCTTTCCAAATGGACCTATAAATCAAGGTAATATATGAGGCTATAAGCATCTACATAAGATTTGGAAGCTATCTCAGGTTAAATTCAACGAGTATTTATTGAGAACCTACACATATTATTATATTCAATAATTTTTAAGGACTCTTATCTCCCAAACAACCTCAAACTGTCATCAGATCCCAAATTATTATGGTATTGTTACATACACATGCTGTACTCTTTCCACAAAGGGAAATAAAGCAGTGCTGCTGTCATTCAAGTGCTGACGAAGTGTGAGAGCTCTCCTCAAGCAGCCCAGACATGCATGAAATTGCCTTTAAAAGATTCACCTACAAGCAACGATGCTGGATTTACCTTAAATGGTTTTTCTGAAATCAAGTACTTGGAAAAGAGTTTATGTGTTCTTTCATATATGGGTACCCATTTTACCTACAGAATACTCAATGACTAAACAAAATCTGTGGGTATCTGGGTGGCTCAGTCAGTTGGGCATCTCTGCCTTTGGCTCAGGTTATTATCCTTGGGTCCTGGGATGGAGCCCCACATCAGGCTCCCTGCTCAGCCAGGAGTCTGCTTCTCGCTCTCTACCCTACTCCCTACTTGTGTGCTCTCTTTCTCATTCTCTCTCAAATAAATAGATAATTAAAAAAAAAAAGAAAACCTGCAATATTAATAGTTTCTATAATTACTCCATCTACTTAATAAAATTTTACATGCCCAATAACTGTTGGCAAAATTAGCTACTAAATTAAAAAATATTTTTATTTTACTTTTTGAAGATTTTATTTATTTGACAGAAAGAAAGAGAACAAGCAGGGGGAGCGGCAGGAGGAGGGGGAGGGAGAAGCAGACTCTCCACTGAGCAGGGAGGGAACCTGATGCCTGCCTTGATCCCAGGACCCTGGGATCATGATCTGAACTGAAGGCAGATGCTTAACCAATTGAGCCACCCAGACGTCCCTTAAAAATATTTTTAAAAAGAAGTGATCATTTAGTCTGTGGATGTAATTTTTTTTTTAAATGATAAAACTGTAGCCAGATGTCACATGTAAAAATTAATTATAGGTCTTGGTTCATTATGTGTATTAAGTTACATGTACTGTGTATTAACACAACTTAAAAAGACATCTATGCAAGGTACAAATATGGGAGTCACTACTTTCCTCATTCAAATAACATATTTATATGCATTTTCAATTTTTCAAGGGTTTTTACTTTGCTTTAACAAACAGCGTTATTATTAACATAGTGCCTCAACTACATAAAAAGATGAAAATAGTGTGGAACATCAAGAACATTTTTGTTAGTAGTATTTGTTTATAAAATCAAATCTTGGGGTGCCTGGGTGACTCAGTCAGTTAAGCATCCAACTCTTGATTTCGGCTCAGGTCATGATCTCAGGGTCCTAATGTGGTAGAGCCCCAAGTTGGGCTCCATGCTCAACAGGGAGTCTGCTTAAGATCCTCCCCTCCGCCTCTACCCCCGTCCATGCTTTCTCTTCCTCTAAAGTAAATGAATCTTTTTTTTTTTTTAATCAAATCTCACTTACTTGACTAATAGTAATAACTGTTGATGGTAAAATACTAGTATCTATTTCCACCTTTGACAAATGTAAAGTCAGTAAGTCCAGTCCAGCCACATTCTTTACTTCTAGGTATTCGACAGTTCCAATTCTCTTTAACAAAGATGCTCTGCATCCAGTTACTACAGTTCCTCTGAGACTCTCTTAAATCAATGGGAAAGCTTTATTAGTTACAGCACGTTTGTAGTGCACTTCGAGACTGTAGGCAGTAATTTAAAATACTCATGATGCTTTCTGAAGTAATATTTTTCCATGTTTGAGTAATGAGTTGTAAAGAATCTGCTATGCAAACTATTTCAGAACCCCCAGAAAATGTACAGCCTACAAACAACATGGGGGTGCAATCTGAGAGTCATGAAATTACAGCCAGGCCAGGCACCACCGGCAGCTGGCACTAATGCGTCCAACACTGAGGACAGACCCGGAACTCCACGGGGTTCTAGTTCTAGACTCCTGTGCAAGGTGGCATGTATTTCTCAGCTCAATGAACATTTCCCTGTGGCAGATTATCAACAAACTCAACTCTTTTGTTTTTTTAAAGATTGTATTTATTTAACAGAGAGAGAGATCACAAATAGGCAGAGAGACAGGCAGAGAGAGAAAGGGAAGCAGGCTCCCCGCCGAGCAGAGAGCCCGACGTGGGGCTTGATCCCAGGACCCCAGGATCAGGACCTGAGCCGAAGGCAGAGGACCAACCCACTGAGCCACCCAGGCACCCCCAAACTCAACTCTTAAAAGACCATTCATAACAGCAATAATTACCTACTTCTGCATTGGCAAGGCATAAAAGGCCTTATTTCGTGCAAGAATGTAATGATTAAGCTAAATATAAAAATGGCACTAAATACACCAAACCAGATCTACATAGCATCAAAGTCACAAAGATGTATGTATCAGACCACAGAAAAATGAAAGGAAACAGAAGTGAAGAAAATATTTTTTAAAATCACATCTTTAAATGAAAATCTTTTTTTTTTTTTAACATTACGATTATTGTTTTGGGGAACACCTTTTCCCTTTGAACATGTTACTAAATGTTAAATGTACTAAACAACTTATACATTTATAGAGAAAGAGAAATTATAGAGAAATAAGTTTTGTGTTTAGTACAAATTAGAGAACCCATGCATATATAACTCTCTCCCCCACTACAGTCAATTTTAAAATGGTCTCAGCAGAAAATAAATATTTCACAAATGTCCAAAATGTACAGTATCTTTGTATTGTGGATAACAGATTAGGACTTAAGGGAGAAAATAAATAACATAAGGAAAGAGCAATATGTTGGCTTGTCTTCAAATACAGAAACTTATGCATATTAAAGTGAAAAATTTATAGTTAGAATACAGGTAAATAAGTAATAAATAAAAGGCAAAGAATACTAAG